AAAAAAAAAAAAAAAAGAAGGGTACTTGATGTGTTGGTAGAGAAGCTAGGCCACTGGTCCTACAGTAGTTGGGAGTGAGTTGGATGCTTGGTCAGAGGTAACATGGGCTTGGAGTAGGCCAATGGAAGGGGTGAAAGGACAATGAGATGCAAAACCATTGTAAATGTCTCAGGAGCTTGAAAGTCTGCCTCCAGCTGCTGTGTGAGAAACAGCAAGCGTGATCAGTTTACATGGTCATTGCAGTGGTCCAGTCAAGTGATGATGGTGTTTTTATCTTGAGTGGTTGCAGTGAAGTTGGCAAGAAGTGGCTAGAGTTTGGATATGTTTTGAAGATAAACCAGATTCATTGATGGATCAGATATGGGATAGAAAAGAATGAGAGATGTCTAAGAGAACTCCAAAGTTTTTGGTCTGGAGAGCTGAATAAATGGGAGTGTCCTAAATTAGAGAGTAAAGACTACAGTGGGTGGAATGGGCCAGGATTGGGAGAGAAATCAGTTTACTTTAGCATCTAAAGTATGAGATAACTATTAAACAGCCAAATCAAAATGTTCAATAGAGATGGAACTCCAGGAAGAGATGTAGGCTGAGACAAAGATTTAGAAGTCAAGATATATAGATGGTATTTAAAGTCATGAAATAAATGAGATCACTTGGGAGGGGACATAAAAAGTTTAAGGACCAAGTCCTCAGAAGTCAGAAGTTGAAGAGATAGGGTTGACAAAACAGGCAATAAAGGAAAAAAGTATCCTAGAACCTGAAAGTGTTTTAGAAGTGATTGCTTTTGTCAAAAGAAAGGTGAGAACTATGAAATGAGTACTGGACTTAGCAACAAAAATGCAGAGGATCTTGGAAGTCTAGTCATTGGTGGGGGGGGGATGGGCACTGGGATATATCTGACAGATATATGCTCTGAGCCTAGAAGCAGAGCTGTTTTTACCAGGTGGGAGAAATCCTCCGTGGAGGTATGATATTACAACCCAGAATCAATAGAGAGGCCCCAGCCAGGAGGGCCTGTTATAGCCAATATAGTAGTATTTGAGATGGCCAACTAGCCTGGGCTTCATAGTCATTTAAAGTCACCTGTTTCGATTTTTAAATTTGAACTTTTGATGTCATTTTCAAATGAAGTTATACATGCAGTCTTTCATATGTGTTCATTAGAATATCAAATTTAAAAATGTCTACATAAAATTATAACTATGTTTCTTCCATTTTATTTATTTATTGATACCAGGAATTGAACCCAGGGGTGCTTAATCACTGAGACACATCCCCAGCCCTTTCTAATATTTTATTTAGAATTGCTTAGGACCCCCTAAGTTGCTGAGGCTGGCTTTGAACTTGCAGTCCTCCTGCCTCAGCCTCTCAAGCCGCTGGGATTAGGGGGCATGAGCCACCATGCTTGGCTCTCTTCCATTTTTAACATACCCGGAATTCTAAAAGATGGGATTAGTCTGGGCCTTACTCAACACAAGAGGGGCAAGACAGGTGAGGAAAGCTTGGTGCCTAGAGTATAAACGTTAAGAATAAGTCTTTTGATGTGAGTGCACTTTAGGCCTCTTTTTTGTCACTTTAATCCTAGCCCTATCTAATTCTCATACCACAGGTAGTGTCTGCTCCCCACTCCAGCTTCCTCCACAGAATGGAGGTACTCCTGCCCTAAGTGCAGATGGATGCCATAATCTGGAAACCCAGAAAAAAGCAGGCTTGAGAATGATGCCTTTTAGCTCAAAAGTGAGTATACACTGCCACCTCATGGCCATCCAGGGCTGGATTCGGAAGACTGTTCCTAGAATTGTACCAGCACAGTAAAGACAAGACACCTCACTCAGGTCCAAATTTCTTAAACTGTGGTATTCATAATTGTGTTGGAAGAGATCTTATTACACATGCTAATTTCAAGGCCTCACCTCAGAAAAATTGACCTCTCAGGATGGAGCTCAGTGAACTGTGGACTCAATGAGCCTCCTAAGTAATTCCTAGCCACAATCAAGTACACAGTTCCTACTACAGTCCAAAGCCATTGTTTTATAAACTGAATTGCAAGCGAGAGGCCTCCTGAGGTCCCCCAGAAATTATGGCTTTCTCTGCTGCTCAGACACACAAAGAAATGGAACTGTTCAATAGGTCTTTATTAACACAGACAGACAGACAGATGGACAGAGAATGTAGCACAGGCAGTGTTCTGGAAATGGTGATGGTGGTGTGCGTGCGCACATACAGAGAAAGCCTTCTCTGGCCTAGAGAAGGCCCCTTGTACCCAGGCCTACCTCTTCAGGCCTCTCTCTCAGTGGTGAGACCCAAAGTTTCCCATCATACCCCAAGGGAAGGACAGGGGTCTTTCGGAGATGGAGGACCTTTACTTCAGAATTCTCTACATTCCTCTGGTTCCCCAACTGACTTAGTTGCTGAGAGGGTGGGGACAAGCCACAGGGGCACTTGCATAGCAGGGAAATGGAATGGAGATAAGGCATATGGTGAGGACAAGGGAGGTAAAGGGGAAGGACATCATAGCTGTAGGTGAAGGGGGCCTCCAATAGGCAGCTCCTCTTCCCCTTTACCCCCCTTCCCAGATTACTGCTAGATTGAGGAGTCAGGCAGAAGCAGAGTGTAATAATACTCACCCCACCCTTAACTCCAGAGCCCGACTGCAGACAGGAATCTCTGGAAAGGCCTGAGTTAGTGAGTGAAGCTTGTGATGTGTTGAAACATGACTGGTCCCCTAGGTATACGTGGGACTCCCTCTCTGGATGAGTGTGAGTGCATGATCCCGCAGTACACACAGGTCTTGGCATCTACTATATATGTCCCATTTGTTCCCATGGGTCTCTGTATGGGATGTATAAGCATGTTATGTCCCTCCTTGTCCAGCAGGACCTCAGTATCTGTATGGTTTGAGTATGTCCCTGTCTGTACATGGGTTCCAGCAAGTGGATGTCTGCAGGCCTGCCTGCTCCTGTCCATCCACAGATCTTCCTTCAGGCCTGAATGGTCAGGGGTCCTGGCCAAAGAGGTAGGTGGTGAGCTCAAGCCGGAGGCCCCGGGCATAGGAGCGAAGGGTATAGAAGAGAGTGAGGAAGTCCTGGGTGCTAAAGACAGTGTCAGCCAGTGCGAATGCCAGGGTAGATGGGATGACACCCCGTCCATACTCCACCATCCATGTGTTTGGCCCCCACTCCACAGCTGTTGCCTCGCCAGGCCCGTGCATCACTGTTTCCCCTGGAGGAAAGGGAGCACCCATGTGAGGAGTCCAGCTCTGTTCTGCCCTTCCATTGCTGTGCTTCCCTGGCCCATGGAAAGTGTCCTTATCTGGGGGTGGGAACTGAAGAGACAGCTTCAGGAAAGGAAAAAGTCTTCTTACCTCACTGACTGATCTCCTATCTTGAAGGGAAAACAACTCAGTCAACCAATCCTAAATCTTCTGTGGGGGCTCATGTTCTCTCTTGGGGGAAGCCATGAAGGGCTACCCATCTTGGCCAAGGGTTACTGAGTGGAAGTCTACATTTCCAAGTCTCATAAATATCAACTGGAAATTTAGCTAAACTTGGGCTTGGCTGGTTAGATATGGAGGGTTGGTTGCAAGGCTTTCTGTTCAATCACAATTTCTATATGTTTACATTCAACCTCAAACTCACTTGGAAGCCCAAAGCTCTACTTTTTATGTAAATTGCTTCATTATTAAAAAAAAAAAAAAGGTGATGGAGACAACTGTCTTATAATATCTGGGTGTAAGAGTGTTGCTGAGTACCAATTTTTTCCCCAGCAATTGCTAGAATATTGTCTGGGTAAAACAGTGTCCAGGCAAATAAAATCAGACATGCTTATTACATGTTATTACATGTTGTGTCCCTTTAACATAGGAAAGCAATAAGGTCCCTCAGATCTAGCCCCCAACCACTTGTGGCCTAAGGGGACAGGGAGAAAACCTTGGGGAGGGCCCACTCCCTGCCCCCTCCCTTCCCCAACTGTATGCCCTCCCCTGCTCCCCTCACACCCTCCACTCCCTGCCCTCGCTTCATGAGGGCACCCACCTCTCTGATAGAGTCTCCTAACTCACCTGGGTAGAATACCTCACTTTTGGTGGTACCCTCTCTCCACTGGTGGAAGATGCCAGAGATGATCGTGTCTGAGATCTCAGCCCAATAGCGCCCTAAGTGACAATCGGATGGACACCAACAATTAGGGAATCCGCACTATCATATCGCCCAGCCAAATACCAGAAAGGAGGGCTTGGGCCCTTGTATAGCCCCAGCCTCCCAGTCTGGCCCGCAGCTAGCACTGACCCGAATGGCCGCGGGAGCCCAGGGCTGTGCCGAAGAGCAGCACGTACTCAGACAGCGAGGCGTGCAGAAGGCACATGGCACCCATCCAGCCACCCGCGTTCACGAACACCCACTGCAGCTCCTCGTCAGGTAGCACGTGGCCTGGGTGCAGCCGCCGCAGCTCCACGATCAACCGAGAGAAGGCTAGCTCGTGGTCCAGCCCTGGCGGAAACGGAGGAATAGCAGAGTCAAGGCAAGCTCCAGGCCCGGCCTTCCGGACGGCGCCCTCGGAAACCTCGGCTCCCCTCCAGGGCCGCCCGCCCCGCTCCCGCCCTCAGCCCGCTCACCAGCGTACTGCCGCGCTAGCTGCGCGATCTCTTCGTGCTGGAAGACGAAGCTCCGCGTTCCCAGCCAGAGCCAGACAAGCTGGGCCAGCACTGCCACCGCAGCCAGAAGCAGTGCGACCCACGCCCACCGCCGACCCACGGCCCACTGCATCCTGGTGGGCTGCGCAGGAGGGAGGCTGGGGCTAGGACTGGGGCTGGGGCTGGGACTGGGGCTGGGGCTGGGACTGGGACTGGGGCTGGGGCTAGGGCTGCGACTCCGCCTCCGAGCCTGCCGCCGGCAGCCCACCGCTCGCTCCCCTGCCAGCACTGTGGTATGGCACGCCTTGGCCAATCGGAACAGTTCGGGGACCCTAGCACCGCCCCTTCGGTTGAACCATTTCCTCGCCAAGCGCGTAGAGACGTGGGGCGGCACAGCTCACGTGAGGGGAGGGCGTGGGCTAACCTCCGGCTGCGGGCGTTAGGGTATTCAGGGAGGGTCTTTCCTCCGCCGCGCGAGAGGATGTTGGGGGTGGGCGGCGGAGAGACCCAGATGGGCTCTCTAGCTGGCGAGCCCGGAAGTAGAGCCTTCTGCGACTCGTGATTGGGTCCGCCTTTGAAAGCACAGAAACGGGGAGGAGGTAGTGCAATCCTTGAGCATTAGGGAAGGCTTTCCAGAGGCGGTGACATTAGTGAGACGTGGAAGGCATTCCAGTCAGCGGGACCCAC